TGAAATCTTTAGGAATTTGAGCATCACCTTCTCGAGACATTTTATTAATCTGATTTAAAAGACTAGCTTTGATACCAAATGATGTGAACCTCACACCAAGAATAGTGAGACCCAAGACCAATTTAGTTAGGATCGTTTCTATACTTAGGAATTTAAACAAGAAATAAAGAACCTTGACCAGTTATCTATGGAAGATAAGATCCAAAGGTATAAAGAAGGATAAAGAAGCCACACTCAAGAAAGAAGAAGGTGAGTGATAACGCTACTAGAAAATTCACAATCAGCGAGAGAAAAACTCCGTCGCAAAATAGCAAAATTCCCTTGCAAAAATGATCTGCGACGAAATTTGCGAGGGAACACGGTGCGTCGCTAAAACCCTCCTTGAAAATATATTTGCAAGGGAAATTTGTCATATGAAAATTCCCTCACAAATTGCTACGAAAACGGTCCCTTGCAAAAAAGTACATTTCCCTCGCGAACAACAGACTTGTCTACAGTGTTTTTTCGTCGCAGATTGCGACAGAAATTGCGGGTATAATTTCCCTCGCAAATTAGTGACTGATAAAATATGTGAATATCATCGCAAAATCTGCAATGGAAAAAAAATTAAATCTACCGCAGAATTTGCGGGGGAATATGTTAAATTTCCATCGCTGAATTTGTGAGGGACTGTATTAAATTTTCGTTGCAAAATTTGCGAGGAAAATTTTTGATTTTTCCCTCATAACAGGCTACGAATTTTGCAAGGAAATTTTGAAAATTTTCGCCACATATTCTGGAACTAAAAAAAATATTAAAAAATGCATTAAACTTTTGTTAATTTTCCTGTAAACAACAAGGATTCCAAATAAACATAAATACATAAATTGAGCAACAGAAATCCAAAAAATACTGGATAAACAATTAAATTAAAATTAAATAGTATATCAACAAAAGTGAACAACAACAATCATCAAATGTACAACTACAATGTCTCTAAAATTCTAAACAAAATAAAACATACAAAAAATATCTGATATGTCTCTAAAGTCTTAAACAAAATAAAACATACAAACAACAACTAGTATGCCTCTAAAGTCCTAGCAAAGTCATCTTCATCATCATCATCAGGTTCATCATCCGGAGCCGATCCCTTCATCTTGTTGCAGTTGGCTTCCTTGTCCTGCATTAAAAGTCAGAGTTGTTCCTGCAATTGATTCATAATGTCAGCTTGCAGCTTCATAAAGTTCGCTTGCTGAGTTAGCTGCTCTGTCGCAGCATGCAGTTTCTTCTGAATCTGGGAGTGGGACACCATCATCCTTTTAAGCTCATCTGCAAATATATTATTATAAAATAGTAAGTTAAATGTTTAAAATAAAATATTAATAGAATAGAGATTGAAAACATAAAAGAATTAATTATGCATTGAGTTTACCTGCAGAAACACTGTCACCCTGGGTAGAGGGTCGCTTACTAGGCTTAAGCCGGCTAGCATATCCTCCCAGCTCGACCAACCTTCCTTTCTTGTTGAATCCACCTGCAGCTATAACCAACATGCTAAATTATGTTCTTTACCAGACTCCATGAGATGTAAACAATTGAAGAATATGGAGAGAGGAACACAATCCCAAATGTCACATTAAATAAATAACTCAAAAAGTAGTTGTACCCAAAACTAAAGAGGTATACATATAAACAAGCTTATGTCCAAAATTTATTCCAACTACTAGAAGTAACAACTTCAAAATTGCAACAGTCAGATTAATTAAATACAAGATAGGAGGACACTCACTAATTTTGAGAACAATCCAAAGGTTGAGCAAAGAGATATTCCCCTTTGTATCTCATTGCCCGATAAAGAGCAGGAATACTGACATCCTCTGTTTGCAATTGCACAAGTCCCTATTGAGAGCTCCAATCGACAAACTGACTGTTAGATATGAAGTATAATGAGTGTAACCCTTGCTTAAAGTATTTCAGCACGATCCAATGGTGAACTTAAGAAAAAAACTTTCTCTCGAGATTGTTGCCTACAGTAGAATCGTATGCACAAACCACCTTGGTTTTGGAATTTCTGGTGATGCTACAGACCTCCATCCAGAAAAGCCACCGTCGGATATGAAGAATGATGAGTCGGGAATATGCCAACAAATCTCAGCTCGATCAGACAGTACATGAAGGAGATATCGTAGAATGATCAAAGACGGCTCCTTCCTCAATTATCCTGTGAAGTTTCTGAAATGGTTCTCTATCTATTTTCTTTTATAGTGATTGATTTTTACACTCCCTTGTCTCCAAAATGCTATTTACACACATTGAAAATGGCTGTTGAATATCTTGAACTGGGAACCCTAGCTTTTTTTTTGGGCTGAACTTGACTTTTAATTAAGTGGTTAAAGCCCAACTACAAAGACCAGTGCCCTTTTTGGTGGCATCAGAAGCATGTGTCACTTTTCATTCATTTGTACAGTGATGACGGCGATGATGGCTACAACATGTCTCTTTAAGACATTTTCCTTTGCTTCTCACAACCAATTCATTTGTACACACACATTAAATTTCAACATAATCTTATCTTTCCTACGATTAGTTGACATAGGCACTACAATCACTACACGCACTCAATGTCTGCCACAAAGGATGTGACGACACATTTAATGACTTTTTCTCATACGCATATTGTATATCTTCTATATAGTCTTCTCCTACATATAATGGCAAATTCCTAATTTATGCCCTTTTAAATTTGATTTATATGTTATTTTTGAATTTTGTGAGGGAATATACATCCCTCGCAATTTGTGAGAGAATATTGATTCCTCGCAATTTGCGAGGGAAATTATGAAATTTTAGTTGCAATTTTCAGATCCTAGATTTTGCGAGGGAAATTCCGTCGCCAATTTTTTCCCTCACTGTTTCCGTCACAGACTTATGATGCTTGCGAGGGATTCAATTTCCCTTGCAAATTGCGACCAAACAGCAACGGATTCTGCGATGGCGATGTAGTAACGGAAATCTTTCCTATTTTCCCTCGCAATTGTCTTTCCCTTGCAAATTCCGTCGCAATGTGCAAGAGAAATTTTCCCTCGCAAATTTCCCTCACCAGTAGTGAAGTCTGGTTTTGAACGCCACAAGAATAAGCTTCTTGATAAGTTCAGAGTTCTAGATAAGAACCAAATAAAAGAAACCTCTTTATTATATTATAACTTCAAAATCTGATTACAAGAGTTATATCCTCCCTTATTTATACTTGGAACATCCCTCCAAGAATAGGAAAAGACTAACAAATGAAAAGACATTAATTTAAAGTTGACAACTTGAAAAAAGGAAAAGACTCTAATTAGCCCACTAAATATTAATGACATTGAAAATGCTAATAAGCCCCACCAAGTATTAATGACTCTAATCAACCCACTAAATATTAATGTTATTAAAAATTACTAATTATTACACTTAACTTCTGTTGCATTGATGGCCTTAACTAACTTCTGATTATGATTTAATTTGAAATTGGTGTCTTCATGATTAGCCCATATTTCTTGAATCAGCACTTAAATCTAAAATGTTATTTCAACCACTAAGCCTTTACAAATATTACATTTGGATCTACACAAACTATGAGGCGGCAATTACTTTGCCTTCCTAAAACATAAGCTTTGGTATTAACTTGAAGTTGAGTAAGTTGTGTGTCAATACGATCATACAAGATTTGTATTTATAATTATAAGATACATGGGCTCAAGCCAAATTTACGTGAAGTGGGACTAACACAGCTTAATATATAAATTATAACTTTTATTATTATATTTTCAAGTGGAGAGCCTGTGATTGATATGTTGCGATTCTGTCTGATTTCCCCTTGAACGCGTATGTTACTTTAGTAAAAATGAGGGCTTTTGAATTTTATAAATTGAGTTGGCTTTGAAAGTTGCTCTTCAACTTGTCTTTTGATTATATCAATATATTATTTTGATAAAATATTAATTTTTGTTACATATATAAGTTTTCATGGATTTGAGTATTTTTCATATTTATCATTTGATTTAAATATTAATTTTGTATATTGTCACGTTTGCTTGTGATAGTTTCCATTATTTACTTATTGACTTGCAGTGCAATAACTCACCCCAATCTTAATTGTATATTTTTGCATGTATAGTTAAAGAGTTAAGTTCTATTTTAATATCTCTGGGTGTCTGTTTTCGCTATCGTTGGTGAGCCGACATATCGTTCATGCATATATATATATATATATATATATATATATATATATATATATATATATATATATATATCAAAACAAGTTTTAAAATCTCTAATTTAGTCCCTATTTGAATTCTATTTCTAAAAATATTTTTTTGGTTTTCAAAATAAATAAAAAAATTGGATGGATAAGACTTGTTTTGTAAAAAAAAAAAAATTAAAATTGTAACTATCTTTTTGTTTTTAGAATCAATGTTAGAGAACATGTTTGAATTATTTTTGTTTTGTGTTTTAACTTTTATTTTTAAAACAAAAAATATCTATTTTCATAATTATTTTACAAAATAATTTTAAGAAGAAGAAAAAATCATAATATAATCAAACAGATCCCGTCTGAGAAAGTCTTAGTTTAAGCTTTAAAAAGTTTATCATTTTGTACTACATAAAAATTTTCGATACTTTTTTAAAAGGAGTATCAAAGTAGAGCCAATGTAAATTGAATAAGAATAACGTTCAAAAGATATCAGGCCTAGGATTGACTAAAAGAATCACTGTTCGTTGCTGCAAAAACAAAAACATATTGTTATTTTGGCAATTACTATGACACATGACTTCCTTAAATTTTCTCTTCTTTTGATTCTACCTAACCCTCTGATACCCAGAACTTATTAAAAATTCCCAATTCTCGAGACCTTATGAATCATAATTACATTCACCGGCATCTTTTATTATTCTCAACCGTCCTCCACCTTTTTAAGTATAAGACACCCCTTTTGCATGTCATCCACCACAACACTTTTAGAGAGAGAGAGAGAGAGATGGGAAAGTGGAGTACCGTGCTTGTGTTGCTTGTGCTAGTTGTTATAGTGCATGCAAGTGCACGTAAGGTGCCAACGGATGGTGGTGGCCATGATGAACAAACACTGGGTGTGCATACAAGTGCACCACATGCAGAGTCTCCACGTAAAAATGGTGTTGATGACAAAAAACATTTTGTATTTGGTGGATTTGCTGGGATGGGTGGCTTTGCTGGCGTTGGTGGAATCGGTGGAGGGATTGGCAAATTTGGTGGAATCGGTGGAGGAATTGGCAAATTTGGTGGGATCCATGGAGGGATTGGCAAGTTTGGTGGAATCGGTGGTGCTGCAGGAATTGGTGGCTTCCATGGCATTGGTGGTAGAGCTGGTGGTCTAGGTGGTGGTGTAGGAGGTCTAGGTGGTGTTGGAGGTTTGGGTGGTGCCGGTGGCGGCGTAGGAGGTTTGGGTGGTGCCAGCGGTGGTGTAGGAGGCTTGGGTGGTGCTGGAGGCTTGGGTGGTGTCGGTGGCGGCGTAGGAGGCTTGGGGGGTGCGGGTGGTGTGGGAGGCTTAGGTGGTGGTGTAGGCTTGGGTGGTGGTGGTGGAGTGGGTGGTTTGGGTTGTGGTGGTGGTGTCTTTCACCATTGTCATGATCCTTAATATCATTCCTTTGCTTGGCATGCATGTTCTTGTTGATTTGTAGGGTGCCAATATTGCTTTAGGTTAGATTGTCTTAGGTTTTCATTTGCATGTTATGTTATTTTCAGCTTTAAGTTGTTATCTTGTGACGCTTAATTTACAGTTTTAAGGTTTCAGGCAAATGGAGGCAACATGCATCACAATGTTCAATTCACTATTGTTATTAAGTTGTACTCCACCTCTTGTAGTGCTTCCACATTGCATGTTTTGAATCTTATTTGTAGCTGTGTTTCAAGTTTAAATTGCATGGTGAATTATGGGCTATGGCGAGCTTAATTGGTACATTCATTTGAGTTGTTACTATATATTAATGTTTGATGCAGTAAAATTAGTTAAATTCATTATTCACCATACTTCCTAAACCACAGTTTTATCTCTTTAAGTAACGTTTATAAATAAGCTCAATAAGTTATCACTTGCAATCGAAGTTAATTCCATAAATTACATTTTAAAATAAAAACGCAACTGATAATGTATTAAAATAAAATAATTTACTACAATCTTTAATTTGGTAACTACAATATTAAATACAATATATCGCCTTTTGAAAAATTGAACAGCAGAAAACTTGTTTGTTCCCTTGACTTCTGAACATATGGAATTACATGTTAGAAATATTAAGATTCAATTATAATATTAAAAGGATTTTATTATAATTATAATATTAAGACTCTGTTACTCATTAAACGTTATATGGCCCAATTAATTACTGATACATTTAATTTTGATCATTGATTTGGTATATGATGGACGTGCCAGATTATAAGTTATGGAATATATATATTATGGATGGTCCTCTCTCCCCTTCAACCCTAATGTCATTCTCTCCATCAGAATACATATTAAATAAAGAAGGCTTAAAGAGATAAACTACCCCAACACAATTTGTTCACAAGATGTCTGCGGTTAAACTCTCATCATCGTTTTCGGGTATGTCTTTATCTCTTATGTATATATGAAAATCATACATTCTCAAGATCCTTTATCATATTCTTATTTTATAATTTATGAACATGATATATTATCCAAATTAACACGTGGTATCAGAGCCTTCTTTAGGAATTCATGTTTTTCCTTGTATGATTAGATTGGATTCTTGATTTTTGAAAAATTAAGGTTTTTTTTTTTTAAATTTATGTTTTTTCCTAACAATTTTTTTTATATGATTCCATGAATTCATGTTTTTTAATGCACGTCGATTTTTGCTAATTATCATTTCTGGATCCAAATCTTGAATTGATTTTGCAATTAACAATTTTATATATTGGATTCAGTGGCTACTGTGCGTATATTTAAGAAAGCATAATTGAATGATTATAATATATGTTTTATTTATTTGGTTGAGAAAAGTCATAAGTTAATTTGGATTGCAAATTACTGTTTTTGGATGTATATTATGAAATTGTGCGTGAAATATGCAAATGGATGTACAGAAGTTCCCAAAAATACAACCTTTATAGAATGATTATGAAATCAATGTGCGTGAAATATCGGTTTCGAATGATTATGAAATCAGAAGTACAGAAGCTTCCAAGAAAAAAAGAAAAAATAATAATCTAATTCTATCTTTGCAAATGTATAATAATTTATTAATTCTATCTTTACAGACACTGTTTTCGGATCCTTGGATTATAATATGCACAGTTTTGTATCCATTGTCTTGCTTTCTCGATAATCGTGCGGCAATATATAAATTGCGATTTGCTTTTGCTGTTACGGTTTGTATACATATATATATTACAAATTGATTTGATAATTAAATTGATTAAAGAAACATCTTATCATTTTCGGGCCATGGTTTCGTGATTTAAAACACTGTCTGAATTTATAATTATATATGATGGGATATTAATTTTATAATAGATTATGATTGCGCATGTGAGTACGTTGATAAGTTTATGAAAAATGTGCATTGTTTATGTTATGAATAATGCGGTATGTATAAGGGCATGATTTCCGCTACTGCTGAATGAATTTTACTTTATTTTTATATGGGCATTAATATGAAGATTTGCATCGTTCATGTTCAAAAAAAAATAAAAGTTGCAATATGTATATTTGAAGTATGGATTGTATTGTCTTATATATACTTATTGTTAATTTTTATTGATGCAAATAGATGTAACTATAGCGTGAAAAATCATCAATAAAGGTAATGAAATATTTTCCCCCATTAAAAACTGGAGTGTCCGTCCACAAATATCAGTGTGTACAATCTCTAGAAGATGGGTGCTTCTTGTGGCATCTTTCTTATTATGTTTGGTTTGCTTTCCTTTAATGCAATCCACACATAATTCAAGATCAGTAAAATCTAAATTGGCAAAATATCATTCTAAGAACATAACATTTCTACAAATAGTTAAGAACGAATACAGAACAACACATTTACATTTAGTTAAGAACGAATACGGAACAACACATTTACATTTATTGTCTGTAGTATAAACTTTCGATGGCATCATTTGACACTAGTGTCAAATTTAAAGTTTTACACCTCATCTGAGAGTAATTAGATCAAAAAATATCAACGACTCTGATTTGTAAGCATGTGACACCATTGATCTTTTTTGATCTAACAGCTCTCAGATGAGGTGTCAAACTTTAAATTTGACACCGATGTGAAATGATCCTATCCCATATATATATATGTGTGTGTGTGTGTGTGTGGGGTGGGGGGGGGGGGATAAACATTTCTACAGCCACTTTAGATAAAGTTATCTACAGTTACCCAAAAACTACGTCGTTTTGATTAATGAAGGGTGTTTCCGTAATTTTATTTATTTTAATGAAATACCCTTCTTTAATTCAGATAAAATTAAAGGAACACCCTTCATTAATAAAAAATGACACTGCACACACACACACACATTGCATAACCCTCTAAACAAAAAGCGTTATCTTCTCATTAATTCATTTCACCGCCAAAAGCATGATAGAAAAAGTAATTGGTAATTAATCTTGTAAAGAACCAACTCAACTAAAAAGCTTAAGTTGTTAGGTGAGAGTCTCTTTAATGATTTATATTATATTCTAACATGCCATTCACAAGAGAACCCATTGAGCTTGAAAAGTGGATGATGCAACAGACCCTATCTACCTATGCTAAAAAATTTCACAAAGAAAATGAGGGAAGGCGATGATCGAATATGGGACATCGAGTATAAAACCTTGTAATTCTAAATTATATAATTATATTTAAAATATAGATTAAAGGGTAGGATTGGTGAAAATCCTAAATACAGAATCAAAATACGTAAAAAGGGTAAAACGGTAAATTGCCAAACACGTAACCCCAGTAAATGAAATGTGAGTAGAAGGTCTCAAATGGGAAAAATAGCCATGGAAATAGATTCAGAACAAAAAATTGAGTGGTTAGACAAGTTTCTGGAAATTTGATGAATAATATTTTTACTGGGTAAAAATACAGCGGTATAGTTGTACCGAAAAGCGTGCCTAATGAATTATGAGCTCTAGGCTTGAAAATAAGTTATAAATGGTAAATAGGACTAGGAATTATGATTTCTGGTGAAAATTGATTGAAATTAGGGTTTTGGGGGAAGCGTGCCCACAATGCACATAATAGCTTAAAACTGTGATTTTACCGAACAATCGAAAAATTCCGGATTCATCTGATCAGAGCAATTAAAGGACATTGGTGAATGTTAAAAATTGAATTTTCTAAATAGTCTAGGAATTAATGGACGTTTAGTGGTTTAAGCGGGAGATTTGAATTTAATTTGAAATGTGTGATGTGGCAGTGGGACCCACCCACTTAAGTGGACAAGGCCACATATGCATAGTCACTATTCATCTTCTCCTTCCATCCTCTCTTCCTCTCTAAACCCGCGGCCCCCCTTGTGTGTGTGCAAGTTTTTGCTTGAAATCTTAATCCACCCAAAACTCCATCAAATCTCCACCAAAACCATCAAAATCCTACACCAAACTTTAAGTAAAATGCATTCTAAACCCAACCATGGTACTCTCAAGGCATGAAATGCACTAGATTGGGAGAAAAGTGACACCCATTGCCACAATTTTGGTGTTCTTGGAGTTGTTTGATCCTCCATTGCTTGGGTATTATATAGAGGAGTCCTAGGCTTTGATTGTGGGTAAGTTTCAATACATCTCATTGGTTAATTTGTTGGATTGATTTTCATGAACCTAGAGCATGCTTGTATGGATTGATGTGGTTGAGGACCTCAAATTGAAAATGTGTATTAGATAAAAGTGTCTTAGAATGATGTTTTATGATAATTGAGCTAAAAGTTATTGATGAAAAGTTTGATAACTTAGGCAATTTTATGATAGATATGCAAGACTTTGTGAAATGGAATTGTGGAAGGATTGTGTAATTGAGTTATGGAGTAATTGTATGAGTTAATTGTAGGATTGTATGATGTGTGGAAGTGTGGAATTGAGTTGGAAAACCTTGGGTATACATGCTTGCACATTTCGGCCATATTGAGCATAATGGGAAAAAGATGATGAAAAATTGATGTAATTGATGTTGTGTGTTGGTGTGATGCACTTGGATTGGAAGCAAAACCATTGGATGGTGTGTGTATGTAAATTAGGCCATAATGGGGAATTTTAGGGAAAATGAGATTGAGTTGTAATGTAATGAAATTAAGGACTTGAATTGGTGTTTTGGTTAGCTTAAAAAGCTATTGGAACATTGTAATAAAATTAACAACATGGTTAGGTATTTTCGGCCAAATGGCCGAACCTATGTGTGTGGGATTGGGAAGTGTAGTGCTTTGTATTTTGAATTGGTTGCACAATTGAATTGAAGATCCTTGTGTGATCCTTGTAGGTTGCCTCCCACGGACGTGAGCTTTGAGCTGTGAACTTGGTGGATTGCCTTTGGTCCTTGACCAAAAGGATTGTGGTAAGTGTTTATGTAAAATTGCATGAATGCTTGAATAACCAAGTGTATGGTTTCATGTGGTTCTAATTGATAT